GGATGAGGTTCTCTGGCCTGCAACGTGCAGGAGGTCAGATTAGATGGTCATGATGGTCCCTTCTGGCCTTAAAATCTGAATCTGAGTCACAGTTCAGGGTAACTTCACGTGTACTTCACCCTTATAGGCACCCACTGTTGGGCTTCTAATTCCCAGCCATCACCTCTCTTGGGTGGAGACCCACATCTCTCTCCCTCCTGACCAGGGTTTTCCCAGGCTGCACACTTCCCTGCCTACACTGCGATATCCCCAGCAAGCCAGACTGCCTAAACAGCCCAGCGTCTGCGCTTTGCTCTCTCTTCAGAGGCCATAAAGAGTGTAATTGCCCCCAGTTAGAAGTGACCACCCCGCCCTTTCTAAGCAAGTGCCTTTATTCTTAAGGTGAAAGCAGTACCAAGAAAACATCGTAAAAAGACTCCAAGAACCTACACATGTGCTAACCAAAGATCACCCCAATTCCAACCAGGGCTCTGGGAAGAGTCAGTCCTTCCAGCCCCACCACAGCATTATGCAAGTTTGCCACAGCCTCAACTCAGTTTAACTGGGCCGCTCAGCCTGTTTCTTTATATCACCTGGACCTTTGATCTTTAGGAACAGGTAATCCGCAGACAATCGCCCCGCTCAGGGGGTAGCTTCAAAGCCTGAGTTTTTGCGTAACCGGAGGTGGAAATTTGCATTTGCATTCGCCTCCCGCTAGACTTTCCCCAGGCATTTGATACTCTTTGTCCCCAGAGTCCCTTTCGTCACTGTCGAGTCCTTTGAAGTTCAGAATGCTTCCCAGAGTTCCCGTCCCATTGATCCCCTGCAGAAAGGTTACATACGATCCTCGCCCACAGTAAAACACCCCCTTTGTATTTAGCACAATGGACTCCAAAGAGACTTAAACGTCGTTCAATAAGGTTTTCCAAGCAGATTGCAGGAAACTGCCCCTTCTGTCACTCCGGGCAGGACTGCAGACAGGGGACGCTTGGCACATGCTCGGAGGCTGCACATGTGGCTTTTTAACCCTTCCCATCTCTCTGCTGTACCACTTCTTTTTCTAGTCTTGCTGCCCTTTCTCCCTGCCCCACCCTCAGCCCTGCCTGCTTCAGGCATCTTCCCAGACCAGGAGGGCTCGGGGTGTTTGAGGCTGTTGGTAAATTTCATAATGTAACCCCCACCCACACGTAGACTTATATTAACTAGAGGGTGCCGTTAGGGGGCCTATACATTGCCCTGGCCCTTGGGCTGGTGAACTGGGTTAGAACCTAGCAGTGAAGCGACTGGGCCAAGAGAATATATCGGGTCTAACACCATCCCTAACTAGCATAAATACCACATGTGAGTGGGGCTTTTGTTATAAAACGGGTGAGGCCTGATGGCACCTGTGTATAGGCCTGTGGTGTATAATGGTGCTTTGCGGTACGGGATCAAGTCAAGTTCCGGCCAAACACTGCAGGAATCTGGGAACGCTTGGATGAAACTCTGCTGGTAACCTCCCCGGCTCAGGCTTTTGTCTATAATGACCTAGAACTGGATTGATTCCTCCAGTGCAACTCGCCTCCCCTGGCTCCTGAAGGAGCTTGGGATTGCATCTGGATCTCGGTCATGGGGTTGGCTAAGCGTGCATCTCTTGGGAGATGGCTCCCTGGGCCGGTAGGGGTAGCATGCCCCTACGTCATGGGTTCAAATCCAGTCCAGCTTGGGCATCATGCAGCAGCTATTGATCAGGCAAAATTAGTCAGTGGGGTCTTGTTCGGGCCCTAGGAGAGAGGTGTCTGAGGCCCATATCCTCAGCAGTATTTAGGTGCCTAATTTATAGAATCATAGGATTAGAAGGGACCTTGAGAGGTCATCTAGTCCAGTCCCCTGCACTCATGGCAGGACTAAGTATTATCTAGACCATTCCTGACCTGCTCTTAAAAATCTCTAACAATGGAGCTTCCACAACCCATCTAGGTAATTTATTCCAGTGCTTAACCACTCTGACAGTTAGGAAGTTTTTCCTAAAATCCAACCTAACCCCCCATGCTGCAATTTAAGCCCATTGCTTCTTGTCCTATCCTCAAAGATTAAGAAGACCAATTTTTCTCTCCCCTCCTTGTAACAACCTTTTATGTACTTGAAAACTGTTATCATGTCCCCTCTCAGTCTTCTCTTCTCCAGACTAAATAAACCAGATTTTTTCAATCTTCCCTCATAGGTCATGTTTTCTAGACCTTTAATCGTTTTTGTTGCTCTTCTCTGGACTTTCTCCAGTTTCTCCACATCTTTCCTGAATTGTGGTGCCCAGAACTGGACACAATACTCCAGTTGAGGCCTAATTAGTGCAGAGTAGAGCAGAAGAATTACTTCTTGTGTCTTGCTTACAACACTCCTGCTAATACATCCCAAAATGATGTTTTCTTTTTTTTGCAACAGCGTTACACTGTTAACTCATATTGAGCTTGTGATCCACTATGACCCCCAGACCCCTTTCCGCAGTCCTCCTTCCTAGGCAGTCATTTCCCATTGTGTAGGTGTGCAACTGCTTCTTCCTTCCTAAGTGGAGTACTTTGCATTTCTCCTTATTGAATTTCATCCTATTTACTTCAGATCATTTCTCCAGTTTGTCCAGATCATTTTGAATTTTCATCTTGTCCTCCAAAACACTTGCAACCCCTCTCAGCTTGGTATCGTCCACACACTTTATAAGTGTCCTCTCTATGCCATGATCTAAATCAGAGGTCGGCAACCCGCAGCACGCGTGCCAAAGGCGGCACGCGTACTGATTTTTAGTGGCACGCTGCTGCCAGCCGGGGTCCCAGCCGCCGGCCCCGCTCAGACCGCTGCCAGCCTGGATTACAGAACCCCAGATCAGCTGCTCAGCCCGCTGCCGGCCTGGGGTTCTGGTCGCCGGCCCCTTGCCAGCCGGGGTCCCGCTGCTGGCCTGGATGGACAGAACCCAGGCCGGCAGTGGGCTGAGCGGGGCCGGCGGCCGGGACCCTGGCTGTCAGGCGGCGGCGACCCGCTGCCGGCCTGGGGTTCTGTCTGCCGCCCGCGCTGCCGGTCTGGCACGCGGAACCTTTTACTGGCACGCGAAACCTTAAATTAATGAAGACTTGGCACACCATTTCCCAAAGGTTGCCGACCCCTGATCTAAATCAATGGGAGTTATGTGCCTAAATACCTTTGAGGATCAGAGCTGAACTGCCCAGCCATTGCACCATCACAGGCATGGCGCATGCTCAGCCCTAGAGCAGGGTCCCTCCGGTGGGGAGGTCCGTGCTGCCCACGCTGCGTCAGGGGTCTTCGGTCTGCAGAGCCATCAAGGGAGCGCTGGACTTGAAGGCTGCGTTCTGTGCTCTCGCTTCCCTTTCCCACAGCAGAGGGCAGCACGGGGTCCCGCAGCCCTTCTCAGGTCTGGCTCCAAGGCTAGAGAGAAGCATGCAGCGACAGCATCGGCTTCTTTGCCTGGCTCCCATCACCCCCGCTAGTGTGGCGTTCCTCGCTGGCAAATGGGGTCAGGCGTCCACTGGGACCCTGCCCAGAGCAACGAGGGCTCGCTGTGCCCAAGGTGCAGGCCCAGAGACACCAGCCCCTCAAATAGGAAGTTTAGGGTTCCCTGACTGTGGAGTCCAGGCCAGGGCTTAGGGAGACCCTGCGTGGTGACACCAGGCAGCACGTATCATGAGTCAGAGAGAGCCACCAAGTCTCTCTGTGCCCAGTACCCCTGGTAGAGTCATGACAGCCCAGGCCTAGCTCTTCACCGCCATGGGGGATTGCTACCTGATACACCCCCTGGAGTTCTCAGCCTGGTCCCACCGCGTCCCGCAAGCTGCCCAAGTCCCCATTGCCCAGAATTCTGTGGGCCCCTGCCCAGAATCCCTTGCTGTTGCTGCAATACACCAGGAGCGTTGGTGGCTGTGCCATCTGGGGTCAAAGTCACCGCCAGAGTGCCTCCAAATCCGACCGTTTCCCGTGGCCGCGGTGCACTCGCCGGCCCAAGCTGTCGTCGACGGACCGGCTCTGCCTCGTGAAATGCGCCGGGACTTAACTTAGACCCCCCCAGGAAATAACCGCATCGCCCTGCATTCTTCTTCCTGTGCTTTGTGCACTTGTCACGACTGGCTACAGACTGTAATTACTGGGGGGGGGGTCCCTTTGCAACCAGAAGGGCCCATTTTTAGATGCACCCTTGGATTCCGTCACCATCCCCAGCGCCTTGGTGAGACACTCCAGACGCGGGACTGCTCAGAGCAGGGAACCACAGGGTTAGAAGGGACCACAGGGGTCATGTAGTCAACCCCCCTGCCAAGATGCAGGATTTGTTGTGTCTACAAGTGGTTTGGGAACCACTTCCAAACCGGTTTGGGTGCCAGTTCCCAAAAAGCCGTTGCTAAACGCCGGGGACTGTGCTCCACCGTCTAGAACAGCACATGTGGGAGCCGCTCAGCGGGTGAGGAACTGAAGCTGCCCTTTCTCTTCGTGCCAGCCCCTCCGCTCACGTGCTGCCCACACTGCAGCAGCAGCGAAAGGGTTAACATGGCTCCGCTTTCCCCGTCTCTGTGGCCGACCGACCCAGCACCCCAGATCGGAACATCGTTCCCCCAAATGCCCCGTTGGCCCCTATTTCTGTAAATGGACTGACCCAGGAACCCAGCTCGGGAAACCTGCTCTCCCCAAGCCAGGTGCCAGCTCAGGATCTGGCCCCTATGATTGGCAGGACCAGCATCACTAACTCAGCTCCCTCCCCCCTGAATTTGGGTCTGAACTGGATCCCAACGGCCCCCGATTTCTATAGACGGGCAGACCCAGCCCCCCAGCTCCAAACACTCCTGGAGTTTTGTAGACGCTCAGAGCCAACCGAACTTTGCAGCTAGTGAAACCCCAGCTCTGGGGAGGCCCGTTCCCCACCCCAGCTGCCCTCCGCTCCCCCCGCCCCGTTCCTCCCACCCGGCAGAGTCCCCGCTCTTTGCTGGAGCCTGGACATTTGTTAGCAATTAGGGCTGGCGGGAGGGAGTGGGGAGCAGCCTATCTTCTCCAGCACATACTTTGTGTGTTGTATTCCGGCGGGCGGGCGGGCGAGCTCGGGCGGAGAGAACTCCGAGGCCGGCTCGCCCCAGGCCGCGGCCATGGGAGGAGTAGAGGCTGCCGGGGGAGACCCGCTGCTCGGGGTGGTTTTGAAATAGCGAGGAAGTTGATCTGGGCTGCCGACCAAGGAGCGAGAGGGAGAGAGGAAAGGGGGAGCCGGGAGGAGCCAGGATCATGCACTCGGCTCGTTGAAGCCCAGCAGGCCAGACGGGGATGCCCGCGAGGAGAGGCGACCCCGGTGCAGAGCGCTAAGGGGGGGAAGTGTCGGCAGGGAGGGGGCTGTGGGGCCTTTCCCATCCAGGGGCTGACCAGCCTCCCTTCCCGTGCGTTCCTCGCCCCAGAACCCGCTTGCTTGGACTCAGCAGCAGCTCCCGGCCCCTCCGTGCCCCTGCGAGAGGACCATGAAAGGTGAGTTCTGCGCCCGGGTACGGCAGCCCCTGCGAGGCCCAAGGGGCCCTTTTGTCTCCTGGCAGCCCTGGGCGAGGTGGGAGTATCTAGCCCGGGGCTAAGGGCACTGGGGAGGCAGCTGGCCGGGAATGGACCCAGTGAACTGGGAGTGCTGCAAGTGGGGAGGTTGAGGAGAGACAGGCAGATTCACAGATCCCAAGTCCGGAAGGGACCCCCTGCTCTGAGCCTCCCTGTCTAACGGAGGCCAGAGAACCTCCCCTGGTGTAGACACAGCATTGAATTCAGATACAGAATTGGGGACAGCAAGGGAGGCAGCCGGGATGGGGGAGAGGGTTTGGGAGCAGAGAGGGGAGGGGGCAAGGGATAGTTTTGTGGGACAAGGTGGGGAAGGGGCTGAGACACTGGAGTCAGGAGCTGAGAGGTGAGAAATCCCCTCCGACCAGCCCCTCCCTGTCTGTCCCAACCCCCCTGCTCCATCTGCCTGTGGCAGGATCCTGAAGAGGGAGCCCCCAGCACGGATCCAGGGCTTCCCCCATCCCTGTGCCAAGGATGTTGTCCCCTCGGTGCACTGCGTGTCCCCGGGGACTTGTGCAAGATCAGCCGCACAAGGAGCTGTCTCCCCGTCCCCCCCGGGCCAGCCGCTGTCCCTCCCAATCAGCCCAGCCTGTGTCTGTGTGCCACCGGGCAGCGGTGAGCAGGGATGCTGCTAGCCACCCTGCCTGGTGGGATACATCCTTCCTGGTGCGCAGGGGAGCACGTGGCAGGCTGCCAGCTCCGGGACGGGGATTGGGAGTGAGTCTGTTCCGTGCCTGAGTACTGTGGGGACAGATAGAGATTGATCCTGCTCCCAGTGCAGCAGGAGTAGGTGGATGGATGGATTCCAAGGGACAGAGAACCAAGGTCAGGAGAACAGCGTGGAAGCTTCTCTGATTGCATCTTAGCTCACGGGGATTTCTGAGTGCCCGCCTGGCAGCCCCCTGTAGCCGCTGGTGGCGCTGCCGTATCTTCACCCCTGCTTAGAGACACTGGAGAGCATTGCATACCCCCGGAGCGGGCTGCTTAGAGAGCTAAGTAGCAGGTTTGGAAGGTCCTAAAGCCGCAGTTTCCCTGCCTAGGAAGGTTAGTACAGGAGAAAGGGTTAGCGATTGTAACGTGGTTGGATGCCATGATAATGGGTAAGGACCTGACAGCCACATGGGAGGGTTGGCTCAGCCTTTTGTCTTTTCAAGGCAGATAAACCGAGTTCCGTGCAGCAGGGTCCCTCCACCCCAGAGCGGGCCGCATTTCAGGCATGCTGCCTGTATACAATGTGTAAAGCTCGCTAGGGTGAAAGGCAGAGTTTAGGGTGATGGCGGTGGCTGATTCTCATCGGAGCAGGTCCAGCCATTCACCCCCCACACCCTGCAGCTGTAACGCAAGCACTTGCAGGGGATCTGAAAGCAGTGGGCACTGGCTCATGCTCTGCTGCGGGGAAATGGGCGGCAGCATGGGCATGTTCCAAACTGGCCGCCCAGAAATAACCATCCGAGGGCCGAGAGTTCCAGCTAAACTGTAAACTGGCTCCCATCACGCCATCAGACGGTAAATATTTGAGCCGCTCACCGTGATGCTGCGTGTGATGGAGAGTCAGAGGGCAGCTTTCCTGCCTTGGAAAATGACATGTGCCCGGCTGGGCTCCGACAGCCCCTTTCCAGGACTCTCTTATTTTTGTAAAGGAGAGGGAGTTTTATAAGCTGTTGCTAAATGCGACCCGGTCAGAGGCTGAAATTCAGGCCTCGCTGAAGATCTGTCTGCAAAGCCTGTGGAATCACACATGGAAAACTGGGTTAATTTAGCGCTCGAGAGCATTTGCTCAGAACACCGCGAGCATTAAATAGGAATCAGGAGCGCAGGTCTGGAAAACCTGCCTTACAATGAAAGAATTCAGGAGCTCGGTCTGTTTAGCTCATGGAAGGGAAGTCTCAGAGCAGTGACTGAATCAGGGTCTGTGTGTTCCTAGGCAGGGGGAAGATCTCTGATATTAGGGGGCCCTTCAAGCTACTGGCAAAGGCAGAACAAAGTCTAATGACTAGGAGTAGAAGCTAAGGCCAATTGAAGGGTAATTAACCATTGGAACGATTTACCAAGGGGTTGTGGTGGGTTCATAGAATCATCGGAGTGGAAGGGACCTCAGTAGACAATCTAGTCCAGTCCCCTGCACTGAGGCAGGACTAAGTATTCCCTCTCAAACTTCATTGCATCGTGACCCCCTTTTGATAATAAAAATTACGACATGGCCCCAGGAGGGGGGACCAAAGCCTGAACCAGCCCGAGCCCCAGGCAATGGTGCTCAGGCTTCAGCGACGGCCCCAGCAAGTCTAAACCCGACCAGACCTGGTAACCTCGTTAACATGGGGTCCCGACCCACCCTTTGAGAACTGCTGATCTAGACCATCCCTGCCACGGGTTTGTCTAACCTGCTCTTAAAAACCTCCCTTGACAGAGATTCCACAACCTACCTCAGCAATTTATTCCAGTGCTTAGCTACCCTGACAGGAAGTTTTTCCTACTGTCTAACCTAAATCTCCCTTGCTGCAATTTAAGCCCATTGCTTCTTGTCCTGTCCTCAGTGGATAAGGAGAACAATTTACCACCCTCCTCTTTGTACATACTTAAAGACCGTTATCATGTCCCGCCTCAATGTTCTCTTCTCCAGACTAAACAAACCCAACTTTTTCAATCTTCCCTTGTAGGTCGTGTTTTCTAGATCTTTAATCATGTTTGTTGGTATTATCCACAAACTTTATCAGTGGACTCTCTATGCCATTATCCCAATCATTTCTGGAGATATTGAATAGAACCAGACCCAGAATAGATCCCTGTGGGACCCCACTCGTTATGCCCTTCCAGCCTGGCCTGGACTATTGGTAACTACTCTCTGAGTATGATTTTCCAACCAGTTGTGTACCCACCTTATAGTAGCTCCACCTAGGTTGTATTTCCCTACTCTGCTCATGAGAAAGTCATGTGAGACAGTATCAAAAGTCTTACTGAAGTCAAGCGTTATCGTATCTCCATCACTGGCAATTTTTCAACAGCCGCTCTAGTTCAGACAGGAATTAGGGCCTGTGTGATGCAGGCCAGACTAGATGATCACAACGATCCCTGCTGGCTTTAAAATTTGCAATTCTCTGAGGCTAGGCAACATCCACACCCAACCTAATCTCAATCGTCAGGCTCACTAGCATCGGGACACAGATAGACCACTCACTCCCCCATGCTCCCTTTCAATTCAACCGACAGGCAGCTTCAGTCAAAAAAGCGAACAGAATGCTGGTAATAAATAAGAAAGGGATAGATAATAGGACAGAAAATATCATGTTGCCTCTATATAAATCCATGGTATGCCCACATCTTGAATACTGCGTGCAGATGTGGTCGCCCCAGCTCAAAAAAATATATTGGAATTGGAAAAGGTCCAGAAAAGGGCAACAAAAACGATTAGGGGTATAGAACGGGTTCTGTATGAGGAGAGGTTAATAAGACTGGGACTTGTCAGCTTGGAAAAGAGATGGCTAAGGGGGGAAATATGATTGAGGTCTATAAAATCATGACTGGTCTGGAGAAAGTAAATAAGGAAGTGTAATTTACTCCTTCTCATAACACAAGAACTAGGGGTCACCCAATGAAATTAATAGGCAGCAGGTTTAAAACAAACAAAAGGAAGTATTTCTTCACACAATGCACAGTCAACCCGTGGAACTCCTTGCCGGAGGATGTTGTGAAGGCCAAGACCATATCAGGGTTCAAAAAAGAACTAGATAAATTCATGGAGGATAGGTCCATCGATGGCTATTAGCCAGGATGGCCAGGGAGGGTGTCCCTAGCCTCTGTTTGCCAGAAGCTGGGAATGAGCAACAGGGGATGGATCACTGGAAGATTCCCTGTTCTGTTCATTCCCTCTGGGGCACCTGGCACTGGCCACTTTCAGAAGACAGGATACTGGGCTAGATGGACCTTTGGTCTAACCCAGTAGGGCCATTCTTATGTTCAGTGCACACATCAGAGGACTGAAAATCACCCTTAATAATCCCAACCTCCCACTGCTACATTAGTTAATAACTTGAGGACCAGTATTATCTTCAAACTACACTCCCAGCTTCTCCACATCCAATAAGTGAGCCAGAGAAGCAGTATAGAGTGGCAGGACTGCTCAGCGTGGCTCACCTTATCAGGAATACGGGTGTCTCCCATCCAATTTGCACGTCTAGTTGATATGGACTCATGTGCCCCATTTCATACGTGTTCATAATATGCTGTCCAAGGAAATAACCAAGGAACTAGGTCTGAGTTACGGTTGGGCGTTGGCACGTAATTTGTCACTTGCTTGATGCTTTGCGTGTCCCATTGGTACAGTGTTTGGCTTGGCCTCCTCAGATGTGTTCCTGGATGGATGCAGAGAGGAGATAGACCTGAGAGGGGAAGCATGCTTAATGGTTAGGCCACAGACAGGGCATCACAGCTGCTGGATTCTAGTCACAGTCCTGCCATTGACCTTACTTTGTGGCCTTGGGGAAGTTACGCCTCCCCTTGCCTCAGTTTCCCCATCTATGAAATGGGAACAATGACACTGGCCTCCCAGTAGGGGGCTGGGAGGCTCCATGTTTGTCATAACAGCCCTTTGCCATCTTGCGGTGGCAGTGCTCCGGAAACGCAAAGCATTAATCTTTGTGGTGGCAGTTTGCGTCTGGGATGTTTTAGATGCAAACGCTAAAAGGGACCCTTTATGATCATCTAGTCCCATTACTGCTGGCGGGAATCATCGGCAGAAACCCCTCTTCTCTCTCTGGCTATGTGCGGGGAGAGCACAGTCGGAGCTCTGCTGGACGGAGCAGGTATGTACCCCGGAATCAGTTACGGTCAGGTCTTGCTGCGGCAGGGCATCTGGCTCCAATGACCAAGGCCAAGCACCAGGGTTAATGCCAGGGCAAACTGACCTCATGGCTCTCAGGTGATTACAA